CATGACAGATTTTATCGTAAGAGTAAACGAGGAAATTGTTATTATTAATGTTGATTTAATTTTTTTAAAGTATTTTATAATTATTTATATTAAGGAGAATTCACATCTGATACTTTGATGTTAACACGTATTCACCATATGTCTCTTACAGATATTCGACTCCAAGAAGATATTGCTTGAGAGTACAGTATGTGTCGCCGCTCAGGGGAAACAACTCCGGAAAAAAGTATCGACAAGTCTTACAAATTAATTAATATTTTTGTAAGATTCATGTGTGTGTGTGTGTGTGTGTGTGCAACACTGGTGTACGTGTACCACTGGGGTGTGTGTGTAACACTGGTGTGTGTGTGTAACACTGGTGTGTGTGTGTGAGTAACACTGGGGTGTAGGAGTAACACTGGGGTGTACGTGTAACACTGGTGTGTGTGTGTGTGAGTAACACTGGGGTGTAGGTGTAACACTAGGGTGTGTGTGTGTAACACTGGTGTGTGTGTGTGACTAACACTGGGGTGTACGTGAACACTAGGGTGTGTGTGTGTAACACTGGTGTGTGTGTGTGACTAACACTGGGGTGTACGTGAACACTAGGGTGTGTGTGTGTAACACTGGTGTGTGTGTGTGTGTGTAACACTGGGGTGTAGGTGTAACACTAGGGTGTGTGTGTAACACTGGTGTGTGTGTGTGATAACACTGTGTGTAACACTGTGTGTGTGTGTAACACTGTGTGTGTGTAGTAACACACTGGGGTGTGGAGTAACACTGGGTGGCGTGTAACACTGGTGTGTGTGTGTGTGTGTGAGTAACACACTGGGGTGTGTAACACTGGTGTGTACTAAGGGGTGTGTGTAACACTAGGTGTGTGTGTGTAACACTGGTGTGTGTGTGTGTAACACTGGTGTGTGTGTGTGTGTGTATGTAACACTGGGTGTGTGTGTGTGTAACACTGGGGTGTACGTGTAACACTGGGGTGTGTGTGTAACACTGGTGTGTGTGTGTAACACTGGTGTGTGTGTGTGTGTGTGTGTAACACTGGGGTGTAGGTGTAACACTAGGGTGTGTGTGTGTGTCACACTGGTGTGTGTGTGTGTAACACTGGTGTGTGTGTGTGTGTGTGTGTGTGTGTAACACTGGGGTGTGTGTAACACAGGGGTGTGTGTGTGTAACACTGGTGTGTGTGTAACAGTGGTGTGTGTGTGTGTGTGCAACACGGGTGTACGTGTAACACCAGGATGTGTGTGTAACACTGGTGTACGTGTAACACTAGGATGTGTGTCAAACACTGGTGTGTGTGTGTGTGTGTGCAACACGGGTGTGCATGTAACACTGGTATGTGTGTGTAACACTGGTGTGTGAAACACTGGTGTGTGTAACACTGGTATGTGTATAAAACTGGTGTGAATATAACACCCCTGTGTACGTAACACTGGTATGTGAGACACTGGTGTGTGTGTGTAAAACTGGTGCGTGTAACATTAGTGTGTGTGTAACATTAGTGTGCATATAACACTGGTGTGTGTGTGTGTGTAATGCTGGTACGTGAGACACTGGTGTGTGTGTGTAACAAATGCCACCAATGAGAAGTTTCACAATACTTTCCACGACTGGTCAGGCGTAATATGTGCTCGTGGGTCTGAAGCAACTCTTGTCCTGGTGTCTTCTGCTGATCTGTGATACCGCAGCCATGATGTGACATACGGCTCAGGATTCCACTGAACCAGAGGAGGTCCGTGTAGTTTAACAAACATAAGTGCTGATACATGATTTATGAGAATTCTTGAGCGTGTTGGTGTTATTATCAAGTTCATGTGACTGAATCCCCTCTCACACTCAGCAGTACTAGTAGGAATAACTTGTGAACAGCTCAGTAATGGCCGTAAATCTTGGGGGATGCGACGTCCACCATCCTCCACATAATCTCTGAAGGCATTTATTACAGAGGAAGAAGAAAGCTTAAACCTCTTATAGAGAGATGAAATTGCAGTTCCTCCATAATTAGGCGGTATTTCAGCAGGCCATTAGTCTTTATCAAAGACACACATTTCATTTAGCAGGGATTTATACATACTTTCAGGTTCAGAAGAATGAGAACCTTTCAAGGATGTTGTCGTGAACATACGGTGCTGCAAATTGTTTATGAGACTAGTAAGAAACTGTAGATAATTAATGGAGACAATTTTGTTGTTGCTTACTAAGGTAATTGCTCCAAACTTCCTCTTTTAACTGCCTCTCGAGCTTCTAGAGTTTTTGTGCCAGGTTGCTTTTTCAGTCTATGCAGTGATCTTATGCTCCGTGGGATCAGTTTGTCTGCATAAACAATCGTAGTAGTGCGTTTCTGTAAACACTCTGACAGTAAATCAAGTTCATGCAACGTGTCATACATTAGAGCTAAGTCCAAAAGAAACTGCTCAGAAGAGTCTTTTCAACAGACCTTCGTAGGCTTTTTAGTCACTCCCAGATCTTGTTTTATCCTCCATTGCCTTTTCAAAATGAAAACACAGTGTTTCATAATTTTGCCACACTGCTGAAACTGTTCGAAACGAGCTAGCTACCCTCCTGGTGCTCAGAACACGGCCTATTTTGCAAATTTGTTGTTCTAGTTCAGAGGCACATTCAGACAGTTCCTTTTGATTTAGAGGTGATCTACTGTAAACAGAGTACAATTTGTCCATAACTGGTTGAAAATGATTAACTCCATGAACTTCTGTCACCGAATCACCTACTGCAAGTTCTAATCTGTGATTAAGACAGTGCCAAATTATCACATCAGGGTAATGTTCCTTGAGAATTGTAGCGACACCAGATTTGACACCAAGCATTACGCTTTCCCCATCACTAGCAAATGCTAAAAAGGTGTGTTTCAAGTAAGAGTCATCAAAACCATGGTTATTGAGACAGTTCAATAGATGCTTATCAATAGTTGCAGCTTTTTGATCAGACAGTTCAATAAGATTTAAAAACATAAAATGGGGATCACCTTCCTTATCACTTTCTCATTTAAAATAACTATTAGGGCAGTCTTGATGCTCAGGCTTGTTGATTCATCAACGAGAATATAAATTTTATCATTTATCTCCTTGATATGCTGGCAAATTTTCTTCCTCATATTAATGGCCATGTGATTAATGATGTCTGTAGCACTAGTGCGGGAATGCAGTCCAAATCCAAAATCAATACCATTTTTGTTTTGAAGTTCCAGTAAGCCAAAGTGATCAGAGTATGGACTGTCATTCTGAGCTAAATAATATGCAGAACGAAAAATTTAACAAGATGCCTCTAGATGCGAAGCATTCATGGTGTCACAGAATTTTCCAAGGGCATCTTCACTAGCTTTATTTTCAACACTTAGAGCAGCATAGTGAGATTTTAATGATAAATTGTGATCAACATTTTTTTTTCTGAGAGACTTCGATCGGCTCCATAATAGGATACTTGGCACAAATGTCACTCATTTGACAGCCTCGAACCCTGAGAAGTGAAAAGTGTCAGATTGCCAATGTTTGCACATACTTTACACCCAAGTTTATCATCCTTGAAGTCTAACCAGGGATAAGTTCCATCATTTTCTATGTTACACCTCCTCCTCCTCCAGTACTATGTTACATCTCCTCCTTCAGTACTATGGTACAACTCTTCATCCTCCAGTACTATGTTACACCTCCTCCTCCGACAGTACTAGGTTACATCTCCTCCTCCTCCTCCAGTACTATATTAATCTCCTCCTCCTCCAGTACTATGTTACACCTCCTCCTCCTTCAGTACTATGTTACACCTCCTCCTCCTTCAGTACTATGTTACATCTCCTCCTCCAGTACTATGGTACAACTTCTCCTCCTCCAGTACTATGTTACATCTTCTCCTGTAATATGTTGCATGTCCTCCTCCTCCAGTACTATGAATACATCTCCTCCTCCGTAGTATGTTACATCTCCTCCTCCAATTACTATATTACATCTCCTCCTCCTGTAATATGTTACATCTCCTCCTCCTCCAGTACTATGTTACATCTCCTCCTCCGTAGTATGTTACATCTCCTCCTCCTGTAATATGTTACATCTCCTCCTCCTCCAGTACCTATGTAACATCTCCTCTTCCTGTAATATATTACATCTCCTCCTCCAGTACTGTGTTACATTTTCTCCTCCTCCAGTACTATCTTACATCTCCTCCAGTACTATGGTACATCTCCTCCTGCAGTACTGTTACACCCCTCCTCCTCCGGTACTATGTTACATCTTCTCCTGTAATATGTTGCATGTCCTCCTCCTCCAGTACTATGTTACATCTCCTCCTCCGTAGTATGTTACATCTCCTCCTCCTGTAATATGTTACATCTTCTCCTCCTCCAGTACTATGTTACATCTCCTCCTCCTGTAATATGTTACATCTCCTCCTCCAGTAC